CGCAGTGGATTTTGTTGACCCGCTTGGGTCACTAAATGCAGCAAATACACTCACTTAAATAGTGCATAAAGTAGGGCAGTACATCCGTGTTTCTTGCTCTTTTTGGTGGCTAAATCCTTTTCTAAAATTGTCTTTACGGCTACATTTATCCAATGACCGATATTGTAGTTGCCTCGCAAATGGGAATGCGGACGAGTTCAATCATGGCGACAGCTTGTATCAAAATAGGAGCGGTTCGTGATGTTGTACAAATAGGTTAGTGAAAAAGTTTTATTTTGTATTTTCAATATACAGTCGATATCCGAAAGTTGGGGTGGGTGTGTCACCGGAAGTGACGTGCACTTGATAGAAGTGCGTGGATAAGCTGTTGCCAGCATGCTTTGCTGATAGCCAGCGATGTATGTTGGAAGCAGCTTATCCACATAGTTTCTATCAAGTGCACGTCACTTCCGGTGACACGCCCACCCCAACTCACCGATATCGAGTATATCTTATGTGCAAATATGCTATTTTCTTGTTTAATTTCGCTGTAAAAAAGTTTTACACTCACAGCGGGCGGTCGTTCTTGTAATTTGATTCTTCTGTATGAATGGTCGCAGGACAAGGAGTTTGCTTGGGGAGGGTTTTTTCTCTTTTACCTAGCTCCTCGGTCATCAAGAAAATAAGCCAAAGGCTTGGCAGGTTACATGTGTTGAGCATTGGCTAACTACTCCTGTATACGGGATCTACGCATAAAATTCACCTTGTTTTCGGTCTCTGCTACATTATCTGAGTCAGCACGAGCGTGCCTCATCTGGTTGAAGAAGTGAAAACCCTTCCACTGTATTTTGGCCTGAATATCCATTCGTAGCTGCCGTATTTGTTTTGCAGGATACTTACTCTCAGCGACAGTTTGTGCGTCTCATCAAGATTGTGTACAAATCCAACGGCCTAGTCGTATTACTCACAATGTATCATTGAGTGTAGATAGGTTGGTTCTTTTTCTATACCATGTTATTTTGATTAGTTGTTTTCAGTATCCATTGTTGTCAAAATAGAGATGCTTAGTTATTTTTGTATTAGCTAGTTGTCCTCCAGCTAGTCAGTCAGTGCACAAGTACTTCCTGATTGGTAATCTCGCTTTGCCCTACATGGTTGAAAGAGTGTAGCGGATTATGTACGTGTGTGTAACCTTTGCGGGTCAGTTAGAGCGGAAAATACGCAAAAACTAAGAATAGGGCGAAACATCGTGTCAGGCACGCGCCTGTACCTGGTACGTGTGCCTATAATTATTTTACCTAATGTTATCCGGAATAGCTTCATACCCTCCTTCGCATTGGTTCTATTACCACCTTTCGAGAAGGATCTCCTTTGATTATGGATATTTATATCCAATAGCTCACGGAATTCTCTGAATTCCAAAGCTCTTTTTTTCAGATGCAGAGTGGTATCGTGTGACTGTTCATGCCCCTCAAAATCAGCATGGTGTCAACACGTGGTTGCTCTTTGTTTGTTTAGAATTCACCAACCGAACCAGGTTCAATTCAGGTAGGGTTTTCGTGGTGTTTTTCTTGTGTACGGATCACCAACTTGCTTTTATGGGTAATCTGTGTGCTTGCTGGTTATTGTGCGATAAGAAAAGATGCTAGATGTTGGCACTTTGTTTCACCGCTTATATCTCGCTGCATTCGCTAAGGTTCCTAGTATAAGAATTGATCCGTTTATTCATACTAGACCCATTACTCTGATTGAATGAGTGATCACATTGCTGAACATTTTTAAAGGTAATATCGGGCGTTTCGGAAGGGTACAGGGTCCGAGAAAAAGATCAAGAATCAGCTTTCGTTTATCGCACACTCGTGGATTGAGAAGGGGATGAGGAGGATGTCAAAAACTCATTTAGACTCCTGCCTGTCGCACACAATGCTTTTCATACTTCTCTTTTAATTTGGCAAACATAATTTCAAATAATGCACCGTAAGCAAGAATCCGTTCAGAGTTACGATTTGGGACTCAGTCAACGAACTATCTGTGGATAAGCTCAAAAAGTTTGCACAGTATTTGGTCAATGAGCTGCCGAAAGAGGTGACTATGGTTTATACAGCTTAACGCTTTTGAAGTGTTTTTGATGTGTTGTAATTCTCAAAACTACGTATGTGAAATGATTTAGTATCTTCCAAT